ATTGTGGGAGAGATTGCCCTACATCTGCAGGACGATCCGGACGTGCAGCGTTATCGCCTCTGTCACAAGCATCACAATCAGCCGTGGCAACGAACGCACATCGACGGTCCGCCGCCGCGCGCCGAAGACTGCGGCGTGTGCCGGGAGAAGGAAATGGCGTGACGATGACGAGCGCGTCGACGATCGAGGCGTATGAGATACGCCGAGGACGCCGCGACGGAAGTCGTCGGCGGTAGCGGTTTGCTCAATAGAACTATAAACGCTCTTCCGTTCGAACTACATATACCGGGATATCAGTTCTGCGGCCCCGGTACTCGTCTCGCTAAGCGGCTCGCGCGAGGCGATCGTGGCGTCAATCCGCTGGACGCGGCTTGCCGCGAGCACGACGTCGCCTATTCGCGGAGCGACGATCTCGCCGATCGGCACGTCGCGGATCGGACGCTCGGAGCGAGAGCGTTCGAGCGTATCCGGGCCGGGGATTCGACCCTCGGCGAGAGAGTGGCGGCGTCGGCCGTATGGGCGGCTATGAAGGCGAAGACGAAACTAGGAATGGGTATGGCTGGAGCGCGAAGAGGCGCGAGAAAGAGCGGCGGGGGCGGCAAGAGAAGAACGATCGCGACGAGGAGGAGGAGGACGACGACGACGACGACGACGACGAGAGGACGGGTTCTTCCCGCGGCGAAACGCAGCGGCTTCCTGCCGCTGTTGCCGGCGCTCGGAGCTTTAGGATCGCTGATCGGCGGAGCGGCCGGCGTGGCGAAGATGGTGAACGACGGTAAGGCCGCGCGTCGGCAATTGGAGGAGCTGCAGCGACACAATCGAACGATGGAGGGTCGCGGTTTGTATCTCGCGCCTTACAAACGCGGCGGAAGCATCGCGAGACGAGGCGGACGAACGGTTAGGGGGAAGAGGAGGAAAAAAAAAAAGTCGCGTCTTCGCGCGCGTTAGACGACGTCGTAGTCACGATCGGCGTCACGACGAACGAACAGTTGAACAGCGCGGCCAGACGCGCTCGCGTGCGTCACTTCAGAGGTGTGTTCATGCGCGACGCGTTGCCGGCGCGAGTTCGTCGCGACGAGAGTGGTATCGTGAATCTGGACGACGCCTCGGGGCCGGGCACGCATTGGGTGGCGTACGCTAAAAGGGGAAAAGACGCTATCTACTTCGACGCTTTCGGCAATCTTCGACCGCCTCGAGAACTCGCGCGTTATCTCGGACGCGACACGCGCGTTGCGTACAATCGCGACTCCCAGCAGACGTATGATCAGAGCGTCTGCGGACAATTGTGCCTGCGCTTCCTTCGACGAGTCGATTGGGGAGGAGGAAGGAGGAAGCCCTTCGGTCTCTAACGGCGATAGCGCGCGTCGTCATGTCGCTGATTCTCACGCTGACCGGAAGAAGCAACGTTCTCACGGCGAGTTACTTTCCGCCTCTCGATCTGAGCGACGACGATTACGAGCTCGGCCTGACCAATTTCGAGACCTACAACACGATTCCGAACGTGAATTCGTCGAACAATAAATTTTACTTCGACGACAACGACGAGACGATCGCGATCCCGATCGGATCCTACGAGCGCGACATAAGCGCGTACCTGAGAGCCGCGATTCTTCGAAGACGGCGACGACCGCCGAGCGCGAGTACCGGAGGGAGAGAAGGCGGCGATGGCGCCAGCGCCAGCGACGACGACGACGACGAGGAGTATCTGTACGACGTCGAGGACGCGGAGGACGAGAGCGGTGATCGCGTTCTCGCGCTACGCGGCAACGACAATACCATGAGAAGCGAAATCAAATGCGCGTACCGAATTAATTTCACCAAACCGAACAATATCGGATCGTTGTTAGGTTTCTCCCAGTCTCGCGTATTGCGGCCGAACAAATGGTACGCGTCCGACGAGCCCGTGAGCATTATCGCGGTTAACACGATTCGCGTGGAGTGCAACCTGACGACGGGCGCGTACGTGAACGGGAGATCCGCTCACGCGATACACGAATTCGCGCCGAACGTCCCGCCGGGATACAAAGTGTCGGAGATCCCGAGGCAGATCATTTATCTGCCGGTCATCACGCGACTCGTGACCGACGTATCGCTGCGCGTCGTCGATCAGGACGGTCGATTGATCGATTTCCGCGGCGAGGAGATCTCGATTCGACTGCACGTGCGGCGCAGACGATAGAGAGCGCGCGGCGAGACGGGGCGATGCTCGTCGTGCGCGAATCTAGCGTCGCGGCGTTGCGTCGCGGCGGCGACCGCGATCGCGTCGCGGGAACTCGAGTCGCGCGCTCGAGAGAGAGGAGCGTCGGGAGATTGTCCGCGGCCAACGTCGCTTTTCTGCGATCCATGGGTTTCGTCGTGCCGAGAGCCGCGCGATAGTTCGACGACAACGACGACGACGACATGAGGGACATTCTGAGCATCGGCGGGGAACCCGTCTTCGACGATCGCATCGTGAAGATCGAGAGTCACACGTACAATCCGTACGCCAACACCACTTTCGGATACAGCGACGAGATACGAATACCCATACAACAGCAGGACCTATACACGCTGCCGTGCGAGAGTTTTCTCTACGTCGAAGGTAGACTGCACGCGAGGAACAATCCGCCGCCCGCGTCGAGCGGCGAATCGGGTAAGTCCGCCTCGGCCTCTAAGGAGCCGCCCGTGCCCTCGACGCCGGCGTGGCTCGCGAACAATTGCGTCGCCTTTATGTTCGAGGAGATACGTTACGAGCTCGATGGCGTGGAGATCGATCATAATCGCAACGTCGGAATAACCAGCACGATCAAGAACTACGTCTCGTTGACGGCCGAACGAGGCAAGATCTTGAAGAACGCCGGATGGGATCTCGCGACTGGACCGAGCGGCGTCGCGTCGACGGGCGACTTCAACTTCTGCGTTCCTCTCGACACGCTGCTAGGTTTCTGCGAGGATTACAGGCGCGTCATCATCAACGCGCGTCACGAGCTGATTCTGATAAGAGCGCGAAACGACAACAATTGTCTGATATCGTGCGAGGAATTCGAGCCGAGAGTCGAGCTCGCGAAGATACAGTGGCGCGTGCCGCACGTGGTGCTGAATGACGTCAACAAATTATCGCTGTTGCGCACGTTGGACAGCGGCAGATATCTGAGCGCGCCCTTTCGCTCGTGGGATCTCTACGAGTTTCCGCTCCTGCAGAGCACGACCAAACACTCGTGGGCCGTAAAAGCGGCCACGCAGCTCGAGAAACCGCGTTACGTCATCTTCGCGTTGCAGACCGGAAAGAAGAACGTCCTGTCGCAGGACGCTTCCAGATTCGACGCGTGCAATCTGACCAACGTAAAGTTGTATCTCAATTCCGACTTCTATCCTTACGACGATATGAATTTGGACTTCGACAAGAACAAAATCGCCGTACTGTACGACGCCTACGCGAGATTTCGACGAACGTATTACGGATCCGCGAGCGACGAGACGCTCCTGACCATGAACAAATTTCTATACTGCGGCCCGCTCGCGGTGATAGATTGTTCCTGTCAAAACGAAGCGATTAAGAGCGCCACTGTGGACGTTCGTCTAGAATTCGACTGCAAGGACAACGTTCCTTCTAACACCACGGCGTACTGTCTAATCATTCACGATCGCGTGGTGGAGTACAATCCGTTGACGAACGTCGTGCGTAAGATCCTGTAAGACGACGCGTCGGACGGGAGGGGGGAGAGAGGAAACTCGAAACCGCGAAGATATCGGGGGGGAGACGCGAATAAACGTCAGTATCTCGCGACGATGACCGCGACGACGTTCGCGAGCGATATCGCCCCGCCGATCTTCATAGATCTGCAGGGTTTCGTCGTCAACGAGCGATTCGTGACGAAGGAGATGGCGATACTCGCGAACGGCAGAGATCTGACGCATCACGTCTTTCGCGCGCCGATGTCGTGGAATCTGTTGACGAAGAGCGAGAAGTCGCAGGCCTGTTGGCTGACTCTCAATCATCACGAATTTCACTGGACCGACGGACACGTGGAGTATAGGCACGCGAAACAGATCGTTCGCGACGCGATATATCGCGCGTCGAGGGATCTCGCGTCGAACGCCGCGGTGACGATCTACGTCAAGGGTCTCGAGAAGAAGAGGTGGCTGACCGACATCGCGGGAGAGGTCGCGGAACAGCTCGACCTGACGATGGAGACCATCGACGCGGATTACGAGGATATCGGACCCCTTCGAACGCTAGCCGCCACTCGCGTCTATCGTTGCGGCTATTACTCGAAGAATTGCGCCTTGGAAAACGTGTGCAAACTGCACGACTGGTGGTTGGAGAGACGCGATCAATTGCGCGACATGTGAACGGAGACGCGTCGTAGATCAGTCTTACGCGTACTCTTATCGACGACTTATCACCCTGCCTAAAAGTATTATTAATACTTAGAAAGACACTATTAATACTAAGAAAAAATAATATTCAAATAATATTAATACTAAGAAAAAAAATAATATTCAAATAATATTAATACTAAGAATATTAAAATAATAATACTACGAATATTAATACTAAGAATATTAAAATAATAATACTACGAATATTAATACTAAGAATATTAAAATAATAATACTACGAATATTAAAATAATATTAAGATAATATTAAAATAATGTAAGATAATATTAAAATAACGTTAAAATAATGTTAATCAGCGAATAAACTCGTATCGCGCGTACGCGGTCGAACGTATTTTCCGGCACTTCCTCCGGAGCAATCGAGAATTTATCGCGCCTCATTAAATTAAATTACCGCGTTCATATCGCTTTAGATTACGGCGTTAACATTAGCATTCGACGGAATCACAAAGACTCGGCGATAGCGATATCGCAGGTATAAATTAGCGCCGAGAGACCGTTTTTTCCTCAGAATGAGTCTCGCGATCTCGTCGTTGAGTGCGTCCGATATCGCGAGTGTTCCTAACGTATCCAGCATTCATTCTCGGAGTTATTTTTTTTTTTTTCACGCGAACGACGATGAGCGGCGACGAAATCTCGCGATTGCGAAGGATGCTTCGCGAATGCACGTTCACGCCGTGGATGTGCCTGTGGAAGATAAAGTACATCAGAAATCTCATGGATGCGATCCTCAATATAGCCGTAACGTGGAACGTAAGTACTCGTTCGTCTCTTTATTCTCTCGCTCTCCTTCGAGGAAAAAAATACTACGTATTTTTTTTTTCACAGTTCGAGAATGAGGTTGAGATCTATGGATTCGTCAACATACGTCGCCGACATTGGATACGACAGGCGAGACTGAAGCAACGGCGATTCTTAAACTCCTTATGGTGCGACCGGCCGTCCTATAGAGAATGGGAGAGGCGCTCCCCTGATATCTACGCCGACATCTTTCGACTGAGAAGATTGTTCGACATGGAGCCGCTCGTCTCGGATCGCGCGTTTAAAACCGAGGATTTCTGCGACGACGATTCCCCCGTGGAGATATGGTACCGCGACGCGAGCTCGCTCGAGGAAACGAGCTCCGTCCGTACGGAGGACGAAGGATTTTAACCGAGGTACCCCGATCTCTTCTGGTATAACGCGCCGTTCTCTCCTTTCGCGTCTCTCCATACGTATTATTATCATTAATACGCAGCTTTTACGTATTTCAGACGTCTCGTCGAAGGACGGCGTCGAAGGACGGCGTCGAAGGACGGCGCCGAAGGACGGCGTCGAAGGACGGAGTCGAAGACTATGCATTATTGAAGTAGACTACTATCGCATGCAAAGTTATCCCTTAAGATTGATCTTCGTTCGCGTCGCCTCCCTTCCTCTCGCGCGCGTCGAAACTCATCGTCGCTCGCGCGAACTGAGCTCATTCCGTCGATCGGACTCACCGCGTCTTCGCGAGAGATTCGTCGTCGTTGTCGTCATCGTCGTCGTTGTGGTGATTGCAGTCGTAATTTTATCCCCCCCCATATTCATATATTCCATTATGCCGGGGGAGGTATTTACGATCGACTCGTAAATACCTATCCAGTTACTCCGAGTTTAAGTAGCGAATGGACCAATCAGGACCCAGTTCAACGTATTAAACTCCGATTAACTCGAGTCGTGGAACCGGGTCTTACAGCGGTATTTATGGGTCATTTACGGTCGATTCCTAGGTCATTTACGGTTCTCTTACGGTTCCTATGGTTCTTACGGTTCTTACGGTTCCTATGGTCCTTACGGTTCTTACGGTTCTTACGGTTCTTACGGTTCTTATGCTTCCTATGGTTCCTATGGTTCTTACGGTTCTTACGATTCTTACGGTTTTCACGGTTCCTACGGTTCTTACGGTTCATTCGCGAATGCTCCCCCGCGATCGTTTCGCCTCGTTCGGGCGCGGTTATACGGGTAAGCGCGAGGCTCGAGATCGCGATACGTTCATTCGTGAATCATGTTTTTGCAGCTACTTTATTTTTAAATGGTCGTTCGATATCGGTTCGCAGGTCGTTCCCTAAGAGATATTCGAGTGGATCGCTCAAAATGGGTCCTCCACCCCTTATATAATAGTCGTACATTTCAATCGTATAAGTTTAACAATGGTACATCGTAATCGTCGCGTCGCATCCATCGTCGATAGTCGCGCGATTCAGTAAAGGAGAACTCGAAGACCCTCCGCGTTCTCTCGAACGTTGGAATGTTCCAATATAATGTTGTAATGTAAGGTTCGCCGACTACTTCGAGTTCCTCCCCCGCAAGCTCGCGTATAGGCCGTGTAATTACTTCATTATGTTAAACGTTATACTAAGCGTTATACTGAGCGTTATAACCCTGTCGGCATTTATACAAACACCTCTTACTCGAGCGATACGCTACATTCACCTCCTTGTCCTACGACAAGTATCGCGAGACTAATATACACGCGCGTATCGCGTGCTTCGATATCGCGTCGAATGGTTCGATTTTACGTTCGAACAAACATGTGTAAAAAAAAAAAGAAGCGAAAGACACGACAAGGCGCGCGTCTAAGCGATATCTTTGCGAATCGTAGATCGCGCGTATTTTTTTTTTGTACGAATGAGGAATAATTTTTTGTACGAATGAGGAATAATTTTTTGTACGAATAAAAAATCATTTTTTTCCACGAATAAAGAGTCGTTTCTTTTCGATCACCTCTCTAGCGCGTCCCGGAGTATCTCTCCTATCCCTTTTCTATTTTTTTTTGTCATCGTTGTTTCTTTTTTTTTTTAAAAAAAAAAAAGTTCGCTCTCTCGATCATCCTTCTCGCGCGTCCGAGCGTACGTACCCTCCCCTCCCCTCGCCTCCTCCTTCTCCCTCGTACTCGCGCTTTCTCACGTTCCGGCGGAGAACGACGACGCATCGCCGAAGGACGCGCGCGCGCGATAGTTCGCCACCGTCCCGACCCCCGCGCGTCTCGCACGAGCCATGACGCGCGTCGCGTTATCGCTAGCGCTGACGATATCCCTGCTCGCGGCCGTCGCGGCGACGTCGACCTACGATGACGTCGCGGAGGCGTCCCGTTATCTTCGAACCTACGGCTTTCTGGAGAACGAGGAGAATCATCAGCAGTCGTCGCTACTGGACAACGCGACCGCCCTGAGCGAAGCGCTGTCGTTGTTTCAGGAATACTACGGTCTGCCGGGAAACGGCGTTCTGACCGTGGAAACGATTCGCGTCATGCGCAGGCCGCGATGCGGCGTCGCGGACATTCGCGCCTACAGCCCGTTGACGAGAAAGTGGCCGAGGGCGCATCTCACGTGGAACTTCAAACTAGCGAACAGAGATACTCTGCGCACGACTCAGAGCGCGTTCGCTCTGTGGTCCGAGCAATCCGCTCTGACGTTCTCGCGCGACTCGCTGCGCCCCGATATACTGATATCCTATCAATCCGGCGCTCACGCGTACGAGAACAGCGACAACGGGGGCTCGTGCCCGTCGCCGTTCGCGGGACCGGGATCGGTCGTCGCTCACGCGTTCTTTCCGACGGGAGAGCCCGATCAGGTGACCGAGGTGCACGTCGACGAGACGGAGCCGTGGCACATCACGCTGACCAAGCCCTCGTCGGACAGGCTGTATCTCCTTCAGACGCTGACGCACGAGATCGGTCACACTCTGGGTCTGACTCACAGTACGAGGGATGACTCGGTCATGTACGCGTACACGCCTTCGGAGGAAAGGCGATATCCGCTCAGGCTGAGCGTAGAGGACGTCGTAAACGTGCGAAATCTCTACGGATCGAGAGAGACGACGACTCCTAGGATCGTCGACGTCACTCGACCGCCGACCGCGGCGACGACCGCGACGACGACGACGAGAACGACGACGACGACGGCGGCCTCGAGGACGATGACGGCGGCCGCGGCTCAGCCGACGACCGCGAGAACGGTCGAGCCGCCGCTCGTTCCCTCAGATACCACGGATCTATGCGCCTTGAAGCGCGTAGACGGAGCGCTAATCATGAATCGTCGCCTGTACGTCGCGCGTAAACGCAACGTGTGGCCCGTCGATATGAGGGAGAGACGCTACGGAGCGCCCTTCTCGTTCGCCGACTACTTTAAATTCCTCCCCCGCAATCTCACTCGCGTATCGGCCGTGTATCAGAGACCGCCGGGCGATATCGCGATATTCGTCGGCGACTACGTCTACCTCGCCGATTCGAATTTTCATCTTAAAGCGGGATGGCCTAGATCCGTCGAATACGTCGGATTTCCCCGCGACGCTAGGATAAACGCCGCGATAAACACGCACGCCGGGCGCAGTTACGTCATATACAACGACGATAAGATAGCCGAGATGAACGACTGCGCGATGACCGTCGCGAGGCACGGCGCTCTGCGGGACACGTTTTCCGGGATACCACCCGCGATAACGGCCGCCTTCCGTCACGTCGACGGTAATCTCTATTTTCTGAAGAAACGCGACTATTACGCGTACAGCGAGTTCCTCGACGCGATAATCTCGGCCGGTCCCTTCGATCTTAGCATACTGGGAATAGAATGCCCAGCCGATGGCATTCTGCATCGATTGAGCGAACTCGTCTCCAAGCTGTATCGCCTGGAATACGCGTCCTTCGAAAGACCGCGCAACGGCGGCGACGACGACGACGACGACGATGACTAAGATCAGGAAATCCTGAAACCTAACGTTAAGATTACATTTAATATGCTGTTCTAAACCGCTGTTCTAAACCGCTTCCGCTGCATTAATCAACGCGCGCGTCGAGAATAAAGATTTCGCGACGACGATCGAGATCGCATCGTATTGTAACGGTACGGCCTATCCCGTACGCCACGGACTGGCTCGCCGGTGCCAAGATTCGGGAGTAGGTAGGAGAGTCAAGCGTACGAATCCTCTTTTATAAACAACCGGTCTTTATTGGTAGCTAGTTTATCCAGGTTGACTTAACCTACGCAGAGCTTATACCTAACTATTTTTACGCGGAGCTTATACCTACTTATTGTACGCGGAGCTTATTCTACGCAGTTAATTATTCCTCTAGCTTAACCTACGGACGCTTACGGTAAACTTAGCCTAGACGGTCGGTCGCGGTTTCGTTCGGCGAACGTGTCGCGATTGCGGAGTGCGGCGGTGCGCGGAGGCCGAGTGCCAGGCAAACCCAGGCGGCGGAGAGGTCAGACCCGTCTCCGTCGGCGTGCGAGGTCAGGAAGCCGAATGCCGGGCAAACCCAGGCTGCGGAGAGGTCAGACCCGTCTCCGTCGGCGTGCGAGGTCAGGAAGCCGAGTGCCGGGCAAACCCAGGCGGCGGAGAGGTCAAACCCGTCTCCGTCGGCGTGCACAGTCAGGAAGCCGAATGCCGGGCAAACCCAGGCGGCGGAGAGGTCACACCCGTCTCCGTCGGCAGGAACGGTCAGGAAGCCGAATGCCGGGCAAACCCAGGCGGCGGAGAGGTCACACCCGTCTCCGTCGGCAGGAACGGTCAGGAAGCCGAATGCCGGGCAAACCCAGGCGGCGGAGAGGTCACACCCGTCTCCGTCGGCAGGAACGGTCAGGAAGCCGAATGCCGGGCAAACCCAGGCGGCGGAGAGGTCACACCCGTCTCCGTCGGCAGGAACGGTCAGGAAGCCGAATGCCGGGCAAACCCAGGCGGCGGAGAGGTCACACCCGTCTCCGTCGGCAGGAACGGTCAGGAGGCCGAATGCCGGGCAAACCCAGGCGGCGGAGAGGTCACACCCGTCTCCGTCGGCAGGAACGGTCAGGAGTCAAGAAGTCTCGGTTATTCCCTGAGATTCAGAGCTGGTCGAAAGCTGGAAAGGAATAAGGTATCGCTCCGTTGCGCGAGCCGGCTTTTATACGGCTCGAGGGTCCCCCACGCTCGCGTGCGTCGAGGAGGGAGCGCGACTAGGTGGGGGAGCCCATAGGCGGAATCGCAAGTGGGTGCCAGAGGCGTCGAGTGAGAAATATACTCGCGGAAATTACTATAGTTAACTCTTTATTTTATTTTATGAACACAGGAACAAGAAACGAAACGAATGAACAAAAATTATATACATATATACAGGGACGACGACGGTGTCGTCACACCACCCCGCGCTTAGGGGGGTCCGTCGAGGCGCCGGGCCGCTCGGGGGCGGCCGTCTGGGTGGAACCTGATCACCCATCGGCCCGACGCGGTGCGGACCTTATATCTTCGCCCGATGATAGCCGACCCGGCGGGGACCTCGACCACGGTGCCGTCGCCCAGGCGGACGGGAATGGTCCCGGCGATGGGTGGCCTGGCGGTCGGCGGTCGGGTGGCGGATGGTCCGACGGGCGTGGATGGCCCGGTGGTTGCAGGCCGGGCGATAGGTGGCCGGATGGTCGTAGGTCGGGCAGCCGCGGGGTCGGCGGTTCTGGGCCGGGTAGCCGGTGTACCGGTGTTCGCAGGCCGAGCGGCAGGGACTCCGGTGGAGGGGTGCGGTCCGGTGGTCGGTGGACGGCTGTCAGCTGACCGGGGGTCGGCCAGGGCGGCGAGATTCTTCCGCGGCGGCGTGGCTTAATCTCCGGCGGCGTCGTTAGCAGGATTGCCTTCCGCCGGTTTGCCTGGTCGGATCGCTGGACGGATGTCCCGGGCCGCGGCGGTCGTCGGGATCGTCCCGGGCTCGGGACCGCTGGAGGCGGCTTGGCAGGCGTTGGCGGCGTCGTGGTCGGCGTGGTAGTAGGCCCGCTTGTCTCGGACTCCGAGCTCGAGCTTATGGCTCCGAAAAGTTCGTCTACCTCGTGTCGATTCATAGCGACTGTTAATCCGCACGCGGTTACACGGCCTTATATACCCGCTGCACTGCTCCTGGAGGGGATTTGTTCGCGGAATTTCCGATGGCTCGGGGTGTCCCGTGGTTCCAGTGGAAGTAGCGGAGTCCGGTCGCAGGTCGGGTAGTCGCGGTGCCGGCGGTCGTAGGCCGGGCAGTAGCTGGACCGGCGGTCGTAGGTCGGGCAATAGGCGGTCCGCCATCCGCAGGTCGGGCAGTAGAGGGCCCGTGGTTCTAAGGGAAATTCCCTAGCAACGGCGTTCGTCCGAACGCTCCAAGGTGGCGGTACTTCGGCGTGGTCGGTAGCTTTTTGCCGGATTATGCGTCATCCTCGTCCACCCGAGGACTTTCTGGTATGTTCGGTTGTGGTTTCAGGTCCTGTACGTGGATATGCCGATGCCATTTCCCGTGTTCGTCGCGTAGGTCCACGATGACTGGGGATATTATCCTGTGTACTTCCATGGGACCCGCAAATCGAGGGGCGAGTTTGGCGTTAAACGCGTCGTCGCGGCTGGACAGGGGGCGTTCCCGCTTCCACACCTTGTCGCCCACCCGAGGGCGCCAGTCGCGTCGCCTCATGTTATAATGGCGCTCCTGTTTTTGGAAGGCTCGGGCGAGGTGCACCCTGGCGACCTCATAGGCCTCTTCCAGGCGTTGTCGATGCGACTCCGGGGAAGTCGGGTTCGGCGTTGGTTGTCGCTCGGCAGGATGGGGAGGTGCCAATTCGCGGCCGTGGAGCAGAAAGGCTGGGGTGTATCCGGTGGCCTCGTGTCGAGCGGTGTTTACCGCGAACTGCAACGCGTCAATGTGCTCGTCCCAATCCCGGTGCCGGTCGCCCACGTATTGACTAATCATGGTCTTGATGGTCCGATTCGCCCTCTCCACCGGGTTACAATGCGGCGCGTAGACAGGTGACGTGCGGTGCTGGATCCCGAACGATGCCAGCAAGGTACGGAACTGACGGGAGGTGAACTGAGTCCCGTTGTCCGAGATGAGTTGGCCCGGGCATCCATGCCGGTAGATGATGCGGCGGGTCACCTCTTTCGCCAGTGCCGTGGCGGTGGCGCGTCGCAGGGGAACCATCTCGACCCATTTGCTGAACCGGTCCTGGGCGGTCAGGAGCCAGACATGTCCACGGACCGAGCGTGGCAGAGGACCGACTAGATCCACTGAGACTTGCTGCCACGGGGCGGTTACTGGGGTAGCGTGTAGATTCCCGGCTGGTCGTTGCTGCGGCACTTTGTGGGCCAGGCAGCTCGGACAGCTCCGAACGTACCGGGCTGTCTCCCGGAACATCCCCGGCCAGTGGTATAACCGGGCGAGTCGGGCGAAGGTCTTAGCCACTCCTAGATGCCCTGCGGTTGGGTCGTCGTGTAGCCGGCGCAGGATGTCGAGCCGCTGTTCCCGGGGGACGCATTGTTTCCATTGCTCGGTGGAGGGTACCTCGCTAAAATCCAGGTCGTGTAGCACATGTCGAAACAGTTGGCCGTCACGTATTTCGTAGTCGGGGTACTCGTCTGGTCGGCTCTTTACTTCTCTGAGGAGGCGTTGGTACCATGGGCACGCTATCCGGTGTTGCATTGCGTTGAGCTGCGGCTCCCGGGAGAGGGCATCGGCTACTTGATTTTGTCCTCCTCTTCTATAGTGTATGGTGAAATCGAACTGTTGCAGTTCGAAGAGCCACCGCCCCAGGCGTCCGGACGGGTTTTCCAAACGTTGCAGCCACTTGAGAGACTGGTGGTCGGTTACGACGGTGAATCGATACCCCTCCAAGTAGTCTCGCATTCGCCGGATTCCCCATACCACGGCGAGACATTCCAACTCGGTCGCACTGTAGTTCCGCTCGGCGCCGTTGAGCGTTCGGCTGGCGTATGCGATTACTCGTTCCCCCTCCGTCTGGTGCTGCGTTAGCACGGCTCCTAGCCCATGCGAGCTGGCATCGGTTTGTAGCAGGAACGGCTTCTGGAAGTCCGGGCAGGCCAGAACCGGTGTGGAGGTCAATGCTGCCTTTAGTTGTTGAAAGGCTGCGTCTTCGGGGGTCCCCCATGTCCAGCCAACTCGTTTTTTGGTCAGCGCGGTAAGCGGCGCCGCTAGTGTTGAAAAGTTCGGGATGAACCTCCGATACCACGAGGCCATTCCTAAAAATTGCCGGACCTTGCGCACGGTGGTGGGAATTGGCCACCCGGTGATGGCGCTCACCTTGTCTGGGTCCGTGTGTATCCCTTGTCGATCAATCACATGTCCTAGGTAGCGGAGGCTCGGACGGCAGAAGTGGCACTTATCCGGGTTTAAACGTAGCTTTGCTTCGCGTAGTCGCCGGAATACCTCTCTCAAGTGTTGCAGGTGTTCGCTGAACGTCTTGCTGGCGATTATTATATCGTCCAAGTATACAAGGACGTTAGGTTCGAGGTCGGGGCCGATCACGGTATCTAGCAACCGCTGGAAGGTTGCCGGGGCCGAGTGCAACCCGAAAGGCATGACCGTAAATTGGTACAAACCCTTCCCTGGTACGGTGAAGGCGGTTGCAGGTCGACTCCCTTGGTTCAGTGGTATCTGCCAGTAACCACTCTTTAGATCCAAGGTGGTCAGGTATTTCGCCCCGCGTAACTTGTCGAGCGTAGCCGTGATGTGTGGCAAGGGATAGGCGTCTTTATCTGACATTGCATTCAGCCTGCGGAAATCGATGCAGAATCTATACTGCCCATCTTTCTTTCGAACAATGACTACCGGTGAGCTCCAGGCGCTGCTTGAGGGCTCGATGACGCCTTCGGCGAGCATTCGGTCGACCTCCTCATTGATGACGGCCTGCATGGCCGGGTTTCGAGGTCGGTACCGCTGTTTGATGGGCGGTCCCGGCTTTAGCCGAATGCGATGT